ATTCTCCTCTTCTGCACCTCGTCCTGGGAGACACACTGAAGTCATTACGCGGCTGCGCCAATAAAAACACCCTCATTTCTTTCCTCTCAGGGACTCGGAGAAACCCGACTGTCTGCTTTCTTATAACCGGTACCTGGTGTGCTCTGTGACCCTGACCAGAATCTCCCAGACACCAAGTTTGGGGTCTCTGCCATCCCCTCCCCATGGCACCCTGTCTGGCCCGGGCGACAGGACTCTTTCTAAGGGACGCCCCTCTCTCAAGCACCGGAAATTCCAGCCCCCAGAACCCTGTGCAGCAGGCCACCAAGCGCCCACCGCCCTGGACTTCCCCAGCCTCTCCTCCTCCCCTACAAACATTTCAAAGACGTGACCAAGATCAGAAAAAAAATCCTGGCTCTAGAAGGAGAGAGAGAAGATGGAAAGTTAATACCAATCATACTGTCAAAAGCAAAATTGTAAAACGCTCTTCAGAACTTTAGTAGCACAACTCCACAGTGTGGGATGGGGACCCTTGAACGTGGTTGCCCTGCTGGAGGGATGGCCCAGGAAGGGGGGCCAGAGCAGGCGACTCAAATGCGCCACGTGTTGCCCCCAGACCCAGCAGTCTTCCAAGCATGTGTCCCCTTCTCACTTGGCAGCAGGGGACCCCAACGGCGGTTGCTGTCCTCCACCGTGGAGGGGTAGCCCCGGCACGGCCTGGACCACCAGACCCCCCCGGAATTTCACAGACCCGTGCACCCTCACGGGACTTTGCCTTCCACCATCAGCCACGGGGGTTTCTCGCCTGTTCCCCATGACACCTGCTACCTCCGACAGTTACTGTCCAGGCCAGGGCATTTTTGGCTACCCCTGTTCACTGCCCCCAAACCATCCGGGAGTCCAGACGGACGGTCCTTTGTAGCAGAGGGTACGAGGGGTGTGTTATAAGGCATATTTATGAAAAGAAGGAAACTGGAACCCCACTGTGAGCAAGAAGAAAAATGACCTTCGTTACTCCACGGTCCCGGATCTGAAATACGCACGCCTGTGCTCACGGGGCTCTGGAGACGCCTTTTGTTCCGTCCCATTGACTCGCGTTAACGAGGGTAATGAACTTGGACACTGAAGGGGGGTGACTGCCTGGGCAGCTCCTCCATGTTCCCGACTCCCTTTTCATGGGGCCTGTTTCCTGGTGGCGGTCACACTTGTTGACTCCGAAAACGAGAGAAGACACTTTCGTGGCAGGACGTCGCCATGGTGCTCCGCCGGTCCTGCCCGCGAGGCTCGGACACCCCCTTTCTCCGGGGGGCTGGGGAGCGCCGGGAAAGCAGCTGACTCCCACAGAAGCAGCAGTCACTGAGAGAAAAGGGAAGGGGACAGATTTATTCCCGTCCCACTTGTCCTCCAGAACACGGTTTCATCAGAATGCAGAGGGGACTCGCCCCAGAAGCGAAGCTGCTGCCGCGTTGAGTCTTTGGTCTGTGTTTCAAGTTTGGGAACATTAACTCCTATTATGCGATTCTGGCAGCTAATCGTTGTTTTGTTGTTTTTTTTTCCCCATTTCTAATGTTTAACCTACGAAGTTATACTTCCTCCTTCTGGAAACAATTAAAGTTTTTGTGAATGATCACACGTTGAAGGCTTTTTAATTTCCACGGCGAGGCCATTCATACCCTACAAGTCAAACGAGAAATGTTCTCAGGGGAGCATGGGGGACGAAAATGAAACACAGGCCCCGCGTTGAGGCCGCTGCACGAACACCACGCACCCCCACCCCCCCACCCCAGTCCCCAGGGAAAGGTACAGTCGCCTGCTGTACCCCCCTCCATCCTCATTTGCCCAGGGCCGGTCCTGACGGTCTGGTTTGGTTTCTGGTTCTACAAAACGTGTCGTGGAGGGGGCTTTACGACGCTCGTTTTTATGATGAATGTCTTTTTAGAGATCGTCATAAACACCAATAAACCTGTTCAGTTTCCTGCTTAAATCCTTGTTAAAAAGGCTTTTGCTAGAAGGCCCCAGGCTCCTTTAAAAGTCCCACGGACTCTGCTTTCCAAAGCAGTTTTGTATCTGAGGCGATAAATAACGTTTCCAGGGAATGCACCGGAGCACGGACATAAATCTCACGCAGGGCCGGGCAGCGGATGACGTTTGTGAGAAGCCAGACGCGCTGCTGCTTATTTGGGGAGAAAGCAGAAAATCCCTCCCTTCAGACCAGAAAAGCCGACATGGAGACCTTCCCCGTTTTGTGGGGGACGACATGCTATAACTCTTCCCGTTTTTGGCTCCTTTCTCCCGTTGGAAAACAGTTCAGGACGGCCAGAAAGGAAAATGGATGTCTTTTCTCTGAGTAGTTCGGGACAACTTGAGAAGAACATTCTTACTGAGGAAGAAAAGCCACTGGCTGGTTAAAGAAGCCACAGGCAGTGGGGGCTGGGGGCAACCAACCCCCACCCCGGGGCATTCTCAGCAGGGCTAGGGCAGGCCCTCGCTGATGCAGACAACTCCCCGAGATAAAGTGACAGAGAGTAAAATCTGTTGAAATCGTTTTAAAAATTTTTCTGGGAAAAAAAATGTTTAATTCTCACCAGAGGATATGTTCATTGATTTGAGAGAGAGAGGAAGGGAGAGGGAGGGAGAGGGAGGGAGACAGAGAGGAACATCGCTCGGTTGCCTCCCCCATACCCCCCCCCATCAAGGATCGAACCCACAACCTTTTGGTGTGTGGGATGATGCCCCAGCTAACCGAGCCACCCAACCAGGGATGGGAAAAAAATGTTTTCAAGGCTTAAAAAGGTATGTAGCAAAAGGTAACACATTTTTAATGTGTACAAAACACTAATAGGAAGTTTATTTCAGCAGAAGATAAAAGCAACACATAAAATGCTCTCGCGTTATCGGCCGCCGTATCTCACGCCTGTCCGGGTGCACTTGCCCCGGAACCGCGACCGCGGCAGCGCGCAGCACAACCGGGAGAATCACCGCGGCTGCTCGCCTCGCCGCGCCCGGAGGGGGGCGCTGGCTCGCGTTGGAAGGAGCGCGGAGGGCTGCAGCTTTGGCCCAAGTGAAGGGCACTTCGCCGAACGCTCTTAGCTACAGTGACTCTCTCTTCTTCCCCTGACCTGCGGGCATCGGCGATTTTAAACACAGTTTGTCCACAGTCGTGTTCCGTAGACAGCAGGCAGGATGCAATGAACACGTCTAGATGGTTCTCTACAAAAAGACGACGGAAGTGGGACATCACCCTTAGAACAGGGAGAAGGACAGGCCGCTCGCCTTTGCGCGTGCCGCAGCCCACGGCCGGGGGCTCGGCCGTCGCCGCATTGCCGCGTACACCCGAGGTCTGGGGGGCGCGCTCCGGGTCGGGGCTCACAGCTGGGCTGCGTGCGGGTTTGGTCCCCGGTCGGGGAGGGCACGGGAGGCAACCCGCTGGTGTTTCCTCTCTCTTTCCCCTCTCCTCTCTCTAAAAACAGTAAAAACAGCCTCTGGTGAGAATTTTTAAAAATATGTAAATTCAGCACACTTCCTTTAACCACGCGTGGCTCTGTGCGTCTACGCCACGTTGTACAGAGTTGTCCGCAGAAGCGACCTCACGGGCTATATGTCCACGATTTGAACACCGCAGGTGGGGGAAGCCCTCCACCCACGGGGCAGCACGGACCTGGGTGGATAGCGTGTGAGCCCGAATCACGACTTTTCTTTTTTTTTTAAACAGTCTTTTTTTTAAGATTTTATTTATTTATTTTAGAGAGAGAAGGGAGGAAGAGAGAGAGAGAGAAACATCAATGTGCGGTTGCTGGGGGTCATGGTCTGCAACCCAGGCATGTGCCCTGACTGGGAATCGAACCTGCGACACTTTGGTTCACATCCCGCGCTCAATCCACTGAGCTATGCCAGCCAGGGCTGGGTTCTGTCTGGTTTTTCACGCTGTCGGACGATGCTGCCAGCAGCATCTGTGGTGTCCAGGGGCTTGGGGGGAGTTTCTCCAGGTGTCCCCCACGGAGGAATCGCGGGGTGAAGGGAAGGGGATTTTTAACTTGACTGGCTAGCTTGCCCTGCCCCCCACCCGGTGGTCCTGAGTACAGCCCCCCCTCAGCATCTCCACTCTCCCGACCCCACATGACCTTGCCGGCACCGGGCCTGGCCACGCCTACATTTCTGCGCAGCTGGGAGCTCTGGGTTGGTGTGTGATTGCTGGGGTTTCCCTGGTTACCAGGTGCCGAGGTGCCGGGGAGGCTGCCGGAGCGGGACAGGCCCCTGCTCCGAGCTCACTGCTGAGCAAAGGGATGACTTAGACCGGACACCGGTTTGCGAGGGGCTCACTGCATTCTCCCCTCGTCCAGCCCAAGACTCCTTTCCCCCCAGGTGGGGGCAGAAGTTATGTGGAATCCACCTTCTCCCTGTGCTCCACAACAGCCTGAGCTCACTGGGGAGGTAGAGCTGCCTGTCCCTTGTTGGGAAGAGTCCCCGAGACTCATAGGAGGACGCATATCGAGCTTCTATGAGGAGAGTGGCCCGGTGAGGGGGCTCAGGCACCGGGGGCCAAGATGCCGGTGTCCAGGGCTGGCAGGAGCAGAGAGGGCTGGTCCAGGGTGTCCCGTGTTTCCAGGTGTGGCCCTCAGATCGGAGGGGCTCCCTCCGATGTTCCAGTCTGGGAAGGGCTCTGCATTTGGGCGGGATGAAGGTCAAGAGCCTCAGGAACGAAGGGCATTCGCCTGCCGCTTGCCTGGCAGGACGCAGGCCTGGAGTCAAACCTGACTGAACAGGGAAAAGGAAACGGTGTTTCCAAGCTGGGCGCGCGGGGAAGGCTCACGTGGTCACCCGGCGGTCTCGATGCGCTGGACCCTGAGCGCCTGGGGGGCCCAGCAGTCAGCTCAGCCCCCAGGTCCGGGGGCTGAAGGGGGCGCTCTCTCTGCAGGGCGAGGAAGAACTGGCCAGGCAGACTGGGGAGTTAAGGAAGTTGGGCCCCCCCCCGGGGAGTAGTAGGTGGGGAGCTCTCGGAGCATCGCTTTTGTTCTTTTAAGGATCACGACTCGCGTGGATCTGCTCCTGAACGAGGATCCAGGCTGCGGTGTGGGCGACAGATTGGGGCGCAGGAGCCCGGACGGGGCCGAGGAGACTTGGCACAGAAGCAGGTGACAAGTGACAGTGGCCCAGGCAACGGCGGTGGCAGTGGGGACTGGGTGCATGTGAGAGGGCTGGGGAGGGAAGCGTGGAGCCTCCTGCTGCCCTGGCTGGGGCGGGGGGGTGGGGGGTGGCGCGTGGGGGTGAGGAGGAGTCGGCCGGTGGGAGGAACTCTGGGAAGGGCGGGGGTGGGAGGGCAGAGGAGGGTTCTGCCCCGGCACGCTCACTCGCGCGGCCTGTGACTGCAGGGGCCTCACGGGCAGTGGGGGGCCCTGTCTGAAGCTCGGGCGCAGGGCCCGGCTGTGGCCATGCAGCTTCTGGGGAGCAGCAGGCTATATATAAGGGTAATAAATAAGGCCCTGGCTGTACAGGCTTTGCCCGAAGAGAGTGAGAAGAAAAGGGGGCCTGGGACAGACGTGGTTGCTCATGTGAGGTTTTTTTTAAAGATTTTATTTATTTTTATTTTTATTTATTTATTTTTAGAGAGGGAAGGGAGGAAGAAAGAGAGAGAGAAACACCAATGTGCGGTTGCTTGGAGGTCATGGCCTGCAACCCAGGCATGTGCCCTGGCTGGGAATCGAACCTGCGACACTTTGATTCGCAGCCCACGCTCCATCCACTGAGCTACGCCAGCCAGGGTGCTCATGGGAGTTTAAAATAGAGGAGTTTTGTGTTGAACTAACTGCCTCCACCTCTTTATTGCCACACCAAACACTATACTCACAACCATTTCCCCAGCTTTATCTGACATCTCGTATAAGACTGGCTACCACTGAGGCCGGGCCCTCGCTGCTATCAGCAACATCCTCAGGAGCCTCAGATCGGCCGAGGCAGGAGCCGGCCCGACCATCGGCACCGCCGCGGTGGAGTTCCGGCTGCACGTTGTTCGATAATGAGGCTCTTCGCTCACGGTTAGCTTGTAAAGTTCCTAATTAAACGAGAATGGGAAAACACGTTTGCCATTTATTTCCGAGCACGCGGCCTTTGATAACGAAGCGAGGCATCCGCGGGGCCTGTGCCGGCAGGAGCCTCCCCACCTGGGCCGTCAGGGTCGGCTAGAAAGACATGGGATCCACTGTTCTTACACATTCAAAGGGTGTTTTCCTCTTCAAAGCCGGGGATTAGTCAATGATTATGCCCTTTGAAAGGACATAATTGAAACTGCTTTTTGGGGGGGGCCCGACGCTCCCATGAGTATCTGCCTCAGGGGTTCATGAATCTCCTCTGAGGAGGAGGGTGCGGAGGGGGGGAGGGGGGGAGGGGGCTTGAGTTTTGGAATCAGCCAAGTCACCCGGAGCCAAGTTCGATGAGTAAGAGGGAGGCTCAGCGTAGTCATATCAGACCAGCAAAGCGTCCTGCCATCCCCCCGACCCCACCCCAGCCCGCTCCCCCCAGTGCTCACCGGCTCGTGAGGGCGCCTCCGTCCCCCAGCCCAGAGACTGAGTTCATCCTTCGTCATTTAAATGCATTGTCTTTCGCCTCCTTTTACACACCCACACCTAATCCGCCACCCAGGGAAGGCAGCTTTGTTGTCCAACACGCACCCACTCAGAACCTTCCATCGCCTCCCTCTCCCTGCATCCTCCCAGGGCCAGGGCCACAGGGGCGTCCCAAGGAGGTGCCGGTCCCCCGTCCCTTCATGCTCTCCAGGCCCACGGCACCACCTTCGGCCCACAGGGCAGGCGCCGCTGGTCTCCCACCGAGCGCCCTCTGCAGCTCTCTTCACCCTGCCGGCACCCCAACAGGGTCCCGGGAAGGTCCCCCCGGACCTCGTGAGCTTTCTTGAGGTCCCTTGAACGCGCCCAGGTTTTTGCCACCGTGGAGTCCCTGCCCTGGCTGCTTCTCAGCCCTGCACCCTCTTTGTGTGGCTGGCTCCTACGCCTGTTCCTCCCCTGCTCACAACAACCTACCGCAAACTGGGCGGCTTAAAACAACAGAAAGGCATTCTCTCACAGTCTGGAGGCCAGAGGTTCAAAGTTAAGGCGCTGGCAGGGCCACGCTCCCTCTTGGGGAGGGTCCTGCCTGCCTCTCCCTCCCAGCCTTGGGGTTGCCTGCACTCCTGGGCTTTTGGCTGCATCACTCCGGCCTCTGCCTTCCTCTCCTCGCGGCCCTCTCCTCCGTGACTTCTTTTTCTAAGGGCATTAATTTTCTAAGGCACTACCAGATTTCGGCCTCACCCGAGTCCAGTGTGGCCTCTTCTTAACTAATTACATCTGCGATCACCTGATTTCCCAGTAAGGTCACGTTCACAGGTCCTGGGGGGCAGGTAGGACTGCAGCGTATCTCTGGGGGACGGGGTGGAGGGAGGAACACAACTCAACCTGTAGCAGCGGCCTTTGGCCCTCGGCCCCATAGACATCCCTTGCCCTGGGTGGGCGGAGCTCTCCAGGACGGGCTGCCGCCTTCAGCTCGGGCCCTAGCAGGTGTCCGTGGCCACGCTTCTCTCCTCCAAGATGAGCACGTGTGTTCAGTTGACTTGCCTTCGGGTCTGACTTGTCTCCCGCTTGACTGTGAGCTCCTCGAGCCCTGGGCCCCCATGCCCAGCACCTCTCCAGAGGCTGACGGCGCAGAGCCCCCTGGAGATGTCCAGCACATGTTTATTAACTGACCTTCAGAACGGCTGGCGGGCTGGAGGAGGCCGAGGCGGCCTGGAGATCGGGCGACACAGAGGAACGAGACTGTAACCTACACCCATCTAGCGCTTTCTAATTTGCAATGCCTTCAAAGCCGTTATTATTCCATGAGACCTGCACAGCAGCCCAGCAAGACAGACTGGGCAAGGCTGGGCGCCCCCCTTTTTCAGAGACGAACTCCCCAGTCGAGCTTATAATGAAAGGAGGGGCTGGACCACTGGAGGGTGGAGCTGGGAGGGATCCGGCAGGACTCGGGTCTGATCTGTTCCTTGTAGAAATAAGAGAGAGGGGGTTGGAGGAGTGAACCGATTCACTTATAATGTCTCAGCGGCTGACTAGCAGAGTGTGGTTGGGTTCTGAGTCCTTCGGTTTCTAAGGAAATCCCAGACACGTTTGGGGAACAACGGGGTGGTCGCAGCAAATGGGTGTCTTCCCAAACTGATGCCCCAGGAGGACAAGGCTCCTCCGGAACACACCTGCGATGCTCCAGACTGCCAGGAGGGGGTTCCTGACGCCCCGCCTCCGGGCCCCGTGCGCTTGAGGGGTAAACTGATGGGGGACCCTGAGCGGGCTGACCTTGAGGGATCATCAACCAGTGAGGAGGGACCTCACGAATCGACTCATACCAAGGCATCTGTGACGAATGGGGAGCCTATCGCAGCTGAGCCCCCTTTTTAAGAGAGAATGCCTGGAAGTCGTGAGCCCCAGGCACACACCTCTGCTGCTGGTGCCTCACGGAACATCCGGGCTCAACGGACAGCATGTGAATGAACGCTGGCGGAACTCAGGCACAGCTGAACTTGAACGTGGCGGAGGCTCTGAGGCAGGAGGGACCCTCCCGGAATCCCTCGGTTCGTTCCGCAGACTTGGCACGTCACCTGCTCCCCTGAGTGTGGGGTTTGACAGCCCCGCAAACTCGCTCAGGGGTGGACAAGAGCGCGCTCAAGAATCCGGGAAACTTGTGGTTGTGTTACAGAACAAACAAGGGGGGCCTGGGACGATATAAAGAAGCCCCCAGGTCCGTTATGTCTGCCGCCAGAGGAAAGACGTCTCTCAATGCCAGAGATTTGTGAAAAGGAAAGGAAATGTTTATTTAATGCTATACAAACTTAAAGTAGGGACCTAATGTCTTCACCAAAAATCCTAAAGTCCCTTAAAGCACCCACAAACAGACACAGCCCTTCCTTCCTTCCCCCTTTGCCCAGTCCAGAGTACCATTATCTCCTAAAGCTGCGGGGGTCCCTACTCTGGCAAAGGCACGTGGTCCTCTCTCCCCGGACCACGGGAGTCCCCACTCTGCCAGAGCCGCGTGGTTCTCTCCCTCAGGGCCGAGAGAGTCTTCACTCTGCTAAAGCCGTGTGGCTCTCTCTTGCAGGGCTGCGCAGAGTTCTCCCCCTCCAATGGCTGCCGCGTCTCAGTTTAAATCCCGGCACCAATCTTCCTCTGCAGCCCCATTTCCGGCTCCTCTCACAACTGGCTACAGCTGCCACATTCTGGGCAGGTGTGGCCCTGTGGTGTGGAGCTAATGATCTCCAGGCTCTTCTGGATCTTATTACAGATCCCTGTTTGAGGCTCCCCTCTTGGCTGCACCCCTGTTACAGTTGTAATACACAAGGGAAGGACAGCACACCAGGCCCCGTGATACCAGTGTCCGGGGTTAGAGCGGACCCTTCTAATGAGGATGCTGGCTAGGAGACCGATGTGGCTAAAAGCCCATTAACTACATCAAGAAGGATTTTGGAAACAAAGCTGAAAATATATCCTTACTTTTCTATATGATCTAGAATGCCATATGCATTTTTAATGATTATATGTCAAGAAACTGTCTTGGAGCCCTGACTGGTGTGGCTCAGTGGACTGAGCACGGGCTGAGAACCAAAGGGTTGTCAGTTCAATTCCCAGTCAGGGCACAGCCTGGGTTGCAGGCCAGGTCCCCATGGGACACATAAGAAGCAACCACACATTAATGTTTCTCTCCCTCTCTTTCTCCCTCCCTTCCCCTCACTCTAAAAATAAATAAAATCTTTTAAAAAAGAAAGAAAAAGAAAATGTCCTGGAAGAACAGCCATTAAAATAATCACAAGAATAAGAAGATGACACTGGAGTTAAAATAAAAAGGTTAGGGTTTTTGTGGTGGTTGTTTCCCTTTGATTTTCATTTTTATTTTTTAGCCTGGAAAGAGGATGGTTCAGGGGAAAATAGAGACTAATTTCTGCATAGATTTTCCATCCACTAGACAAATATTCACCACGTGCCTCTTTGCTCAGCGAGGTGCAGGGGTCAGAACGCCTACGACAGGCCAACCAGCCCTTGCAGGGTCCTCGGGTGCGAATACAAATTTACTCACTGAATTCGGGAAAATTGTCTCGTGAGGCTCGGACGGGCTACATTTAGAACACACAGAACAGTCCATGCAAAGAACAGAAAAGGGGAAAGAAACCCCCTGCACAGCGCCCAGGACCAGAGAGGCGCCCGAGAGACAGTCGGTGACTCCACAAGCGTCGGTATTCTTAACGCGACATTAAAACGTCTACAGGAAAAGCCAGCAAAGGACAGCCCGCAATTCAGCGAGGAGAGCTACCAATGGCCCACTGAACTATATGCAAATTAAAACAGATGCAAAATCACATGCACGTTACAATGGAACAGCGCAGAGTTGCCAGTAAACCTGTCGAGTTCGAAGAGACTAGCGCACGGAGACTGAGGTGAGAAGTATATTCCATCAAACCCACGCAAGGTGTGATATGCGCGATCCGTGAGAACCGGGATATTGCAGGGAAGGAAACCCAACGCTTGAAAGTGGTTCAGGGTCCGAGGGTCCCGGCCTATCAGCTCACTCAGTCCCCCCTGGGTTCCCCGTTCCGGAGGCCCACAGACCCGACTCCCCGGGACCCCTGCGGGGGGCGGGGGGGGGGGCAGGGAAGCGGAGAAACGCCGCACTGAATGCCGGGCATGCGGCCCAGCTGGGCCCTCTTATGTAACAATCGCCCGAGCGCGTTGGTGTGAGGACTTGCGAAATAAACGCGAAGAGCGGCCAAAACAAACATGTGGCCAGATGAAAGCCGACTCGGCCGACGCCGCGCCGTCATTTGCGTTTCATAAACACAGCAAAGAGCCATAAAATAGGAAGCTGTGTTTTTTTGCCACCAGTCCTGTTTGGGATCGTCGTTGGCCCCTGTCACCGTCACTGTCAAAAGCTCCACATTCCACGAAGTCCACGGAGGGCACTGGCGACCGTGAACCCAACCCAGCAGGAGTCGGGGACCAGGGGGCCAGGCGCTCTGGGTCTCTCCTGG